TTGGTAATCCCAGTCCATATGATAAGCAGTTCTGACTGAAAAAATCCCGCTTCTTTCATAGTGCCATGAAACAAAATCCTCCATCATCCCCATAGCTAAGGGAATGTTTAGAATTCTTTGCGCATCAATAGGCCAAAAAATATCTCTGATGAGCTGCTCATCCCACTGTCTTTCATCTATATTGATTAACTCAGAGACCCTAGTAATGACTATATTACCTCTGGGGGTCATCACCTTCCTGCTTGGGCTACTAGGAACCCAGGGATCATCCCATATGCTAATATGTGTGCCATCCCCTACTCTCCAAATAAGGCCTCTCTTGAAACTTTGAATACCACTCCACAAACTTTGCCACGTATAGGAACTACCTTTTTTGAGAGGACAATTTAGGAGGTCACCATCAGCAAAGTATTTTGCCTTAAGAACTCTTGCACATAAAGAATCTAGCTCTGCCAAAAGTCTCCAACATTGTTTGGCAAGTAAAGCCATATTAAAACAATGCAAGTCTCTGAAGCTCATACCTCCTTTGCTCTTTGGGACGCACATTTTCCACCATGCAAACCAATGCATATGCTTCTTCACATCCTCATCACCCCACCAGTATTGGGACATATCAGTAGTTATCCCATTACATACTTGTTTAGGTAATTTGAATACTGACATGGCATACAACGGTATGGCTTGAATAATGGCCTTTAATAATATTTCCTTCCCTCCAAAGAGAGCATTTTTCCTTCCATCCTCTAATTATGTTCAGAACTCTATCCACCAAGTGCTGAAAACAGTCAGTTCTGTCCACCCCAACTATTGGGGGTAGACCCAAATACTTATCTGTAATTTCTTCCACCATAATATTCAGGGTTGTGCAAACTTCAGCCCTCACCTCCACCGGTGTACATGGACTGAAAAAGATACTTGATTTTGCCTCACTCACCAATTGTCCCGAGGCTGCACAGTAATCATCTAGTGCATGGCGAAGGCTATTAGCGTTGGAGACGTCCGCTCTCATTAGGATGAGAGAATCATCAGCAAACAGGAGATGGGATACCGCTGGTGCATCCCTGCATACTTTAACACCCACCAAATTGCCCGTTTCCTCCTCATGGACAAGTAAGCTTGATAGTCCTTCCGCACATAGTAAAAACAAATATGGTGATAGCAGGTCTCCCCGTCGAAGACCCCGTGTAGGCAGGAAATAATCTGTAAGTGAGCTATTAATCCGCACCTGGTATCTTACAGACTGAACACACTCCATAATTAGAGCAACCCAATCAACAGAGAAACCCAGTCGAAGCAGGACCCTCTCCAGAAAAACCCACTCGACCCTATCATAAGCCTTATGCAAATCCAGTTTTACCGCATAAGTACCATATTTACCTTTACTCTTCCTCTTAATAGCATGATAAGACTCAAAAGCCACCAAAAAATTATCTGTAATCAAGCGCCCTGGAACAAAAGCGCTTTGATTGGGAGAAATGATTTCTGGTAAGAGATACTTGAGACGATTGGCCAATAATTTTGAAATTACCTTATAAACCACGTTACACAAACTTATCGGCCGAAATTGTGTTATAACTTCCGGGCTGACAACCTTTGGAATAAGAACAATAGTGGTGTCGTTCCACCCTTCTGGAATTTTTCAGTTGTTTACAACCAGCAGCACTTCATCAATTAAATCCTCCCCTATGATATGCCAGAACCTCTTATAGAACACAGCATGTAGTCCATCAGGCCCCGGTGCCTTAAGATCACCAATATTAAACAAAGCCCTTTTCACCTCCTCCCTTGTATAAGGTTTGTTTAGTTCAGCATTCATCTCTGCAGAGACTCTTGGTTTAACTTTGTCTATGACAGTTTGGTCTGGGTCCTGCACTCCCGAAGCAAACAGAGAAGAAAAATAAGTGGCTACATGCCCCTTCAAAAGTTCCTGGTCTTCAATCCAATCACCAGTATCCCCTTTCAATTTCTTAATAAATTTTTTCTTCCGCCGGCCAGTTGCTGCTCGATGAAAAAAATCTGTATTTTGATCGCCGCGACAGAGCCAATCAGCGCGACCTGTTTACTTCCAGTAGATTTCCTCCTGCTCAAGGAGGTTCTCAATTTGCATATGTAGCTCATGTTGTCGGGCCACTGCCTCGTCTGTTAGGTCACCCGACATCACCACATTCAATTCTTTTTGAAGCTTGCTCAAACGCATCCTAGGGCCCTTCAAGGTCTCTTTATCCCAACAATGCAAAGCTGTATGCACAGCCCCTGTGCTCTGCGCAAAAAGCTCGATCCCTCCTGCTTTTGCCTGGTCCCAAGCTGTCTGTACAATGACCTCAACGTCCTCCTCAGCTAGCCATCGGGCTTCAAATTCCTTGGTCCAGTTGGTCCCCTTGCCTGTAGGCCTTGCTGAAAGTCAGTATCAATGAGAACAGGACGGTGCTCAGGTTTGTTGAACTGCTCATTGGAGACCCCATAACCAGGGAACATATCCGCCCATGCACTATTCGCCGCTGCCCTATCAAGGCGTTCACGCAATCGTCCTCTGCGCCAGGTGAATATATCACTTGTATATCCTAGATCATCCAGCCCAGAGTCATTAAGAACATTGTTAAAAGCTTTCAAGTCGAGTGATTGATATGTTTGACAAGCAAGACGAGGAGGATGATTTCAATGGAATTACTGATCAAGGCTCTCACACAGAGATACCAGAGGTTGCGGCAAAGATCGAGAGGAGCATACAGGGCCGCAGGTTTTTGTTGGTTCTTCACACTGGAAGCAATGAGGAGATTGAAATAGCTGACCTTGGTCTTTCTGTATCCGGGTACTTGAGGAGCAAGGTAATATGGACCTTCCAAGGCAGGTTTCGGATGGACTCCAGGATGAAAGACAAGGTCACAAAGAAGAGCAAAACTAATGTTCTTCTATCAGCTTTGCCCTCTGAGAGAGATCCAAAAGAGCTCTAGTCCTATCTTCTGCATGAAGAGTCTACACAAGTTGCTTGCAAGCATGGTATCAATCCTGCAATAGTTTTTGAGTGCTTCATGTATATGTTGAAGTTAAATTCCATCCGCGGTCATCTTGTCGACGCTGAGTATGATTTGGCTGCACATATTTGCAACTATTGGGTATGTGATGAGGTCATACAAGAAATCACAGATACTGGTGAAGCATGGCTAGTTGGCGAAGCTCTGCAGGGTGAGATCCAAATGTATATGGACCAACACTACATAGATTTTCCCTCTCACTTGCTGATGTATACCGAGAACATCCCACAGTACTGGACTTCACCAGCTTATGGATTTGTACTGGTCCCGACTGGAGTCATACCTAATGGAATGTTCCAACATTGTGACAAGCTTCGCGTCATAAAACTCAAAATGTGTAGCTTTAGCTTTTCATCACCTCCATTTCTTTGTTGCCGTGGTCTTAGATTTCTATGGCTTGACCACTACCAAGACCTAAGAAGCACAAATGCCGAAGAAAGGGCAGAGGAGGAAGACACCACTAGGTCTTGGGCATGCTTCCAAAGCCTGTGGGTGCTTGAATTGCGCTACACAGATTGTGAAGAGATCTTATCCTCAAGGGTGATGGATCTGATGACCTAGCTCAGGGAGCTAAATGTGATGGGAGACAATAACTGGGACATGAGCCATCTGCAGGGACTGTTGCCTAACATTCGCAAGCTTCGGGTAACAGAGTCCACCTGCAAGTTCAACGACAACATGTTCTCTGATAAGGAAAGCTTGGAACTTCTTGTTCTTCATGGAAATATCATCACACAAGGCATGGGGAGCTTATATGGGCCAGCAAGCAACAGTAGCCTTAAGAGTGTCACTATTGATGGATGTGTTGTGTTACATGTTATATGTTTGAGGGGCTGCAAAGAATTGAATAACGTGTTAATATGCTCGGAAGATTTCGAGGAGCTGGACATGTCGGGCACAAGTGTGAAAACCCTCGACCTTAGAGCAGTGGCTCCCAGATCACTCCCCATGCGAATCATCCTGCTAGGCTGTGAGAAGCTCTGTGCAATATTGTGGCCACCAAAAATGTCGTCCGATTGGTGGCCGGAAGTGCTGCGCATTAGCACCACCTCACCATATACTTCAGCTTATGGAGGGGAGGCAGCACATGCACATCCACATACTGATCAATCCCTCCAAGAGCAGAAAGAAGAACGTTTTAAATGGCGGGTTTCTCTCACGGATACAAGGCTCCTTAGGTCTCTTCCTCCCGTACTATGGTATGAAAATAACTCATTCTTGCATATCGATATGTGTACTGCAGTTACCGTCGGTCGTAGCAACATCCAGGGAACAAGCAGTGACAAAGTAGAGCATGTTCAACCACATACAAGTACCATAATGGATTCGAAGTACACAGATACCTTGGAGGATGGCCCAGTTGCAGTGATGACGATGTGGGACTGCCCTAAGATATTTCCAGGGCGGAGGATCCAGTGGACATGTTTCATAAAGGTTATCATTCATGGGCAAGGCAACGAACTCTTGGAGGATACTTTGCCTGATTTTACATGTCAGGCGGCTACATCGTTGCACGTGTACGATAGCTCTTCAATCATCAGTATCCCTGGAGTACAATGGAACAGGCTACAATGGTGCCAGGTTGAGAGGTGCCCCAGTTTACACACAGTCTTCAATGTTCCCCGGGGCAGTGTTGGGAACAGCTTTGATTATCTGGACACATTCTGGGCGTCCCAGCTGCTCTCTGCAAGCTATATCTGGGACAGGCCAGTTAAAAGTTACTTTAAATACTTGGAGTTCTTGCACCTGGACCACTGTCCCAGGCTAGTACACGTGCTTCCCTTGTCCATATGGGGGAGAGACCGATCCTTCTCTAGACTGGAGACCCTCGAGATAGTGTATTGTGGTGATCTCATGGAGGTCTTCCCTTTAGACCCTCAGGTTCAAGAGGAGGTTCTAGTTTTCCCCAAGCTGAGACGCATCCACCTGCATGAACTTCCCGTGCTGCAGCGCATCTGTGGGCACAGGATGTGGGCACCGAAACTTGAGACCATCAGGATAAGGGGATGTTGGAGCCTTAGGCGCCTACCTGCCGTCGGACACAACACTAAGCCGCCCAAGGTGGACTGCGAGAAGGAATGGTGGGACAACCTTGAGTGGGATGGGTTGAGGATGTACCACCACCCTTCTCGCTACGAGCCGAACCACTCACTGTACTACAAGAAGGCTCAGCTGCCCAGAGGCACTGTACTCAGGTGAACTTTACATCTAGTTCCATCTGTATATATGTATGTTTTTCAGTATGTACACTGCTAATAAGCTTACTCTTGTGATGTAACTTGTTACTGCTCTCTTTTTTTATACATAAAAAATCAGCCTTGTATTGTAAGTAGTATGTGTGGTTAATCAGTCATACATAACTGAACCTTGTTTGTTTGTTTGTTTGTATGCTGTAGGTAATCAATCTCTTCCGTGGATTGATGTTGAGATTATTTCAACGCAATATGCATGACCGTCAAGCATGCAGTGCTACCTCCTACATAACTGAAGCTTTCCTGCCGTGTAACTTTGTGCGTTGCCTTGCTTCCCGCTTGATTGGTTGGTGGTGTTCTTGCTGCATATGCATTGCCTTGGTGTGGCGGTGCGGCTTCTAGTTAGTTTGATCTGATTTGGTTTGGTTGGGCTTGATCATCTTTGCTCAGAGCTCTTGAGGAACTAAGGAAGCAGAGTGAGCATTCAGCTTTTGCAGACCTGCATAACCGAAGCTTTCCTGCCATGTGTGCATTGCTTACCCTACTTCCCGCTTTGGTTGTTGGTTTGTGGTGTTGTCACTATATCTGCATTGCCTTGGTGTGGCAGTGCGGCTTCGAATTTGGTTTGGTTTGATCATCTTTGCTCGGAGCTTTTGAGCAATTGAGGAATAAATCAGAGTGAGCATTCAGCTTCTGCAGCGCGCATGAGCTCATGAGCCTCATCCTCTGTGTGTGGTGTTGTTTGTTACGGAATGAAGTTGTGGGATATGGACTGGTTGTGATCTGTAAGCATAAACAATGATTGTGATTTGTAAGCATAAACAATGATGGTGATTATTTGTGTGTATGTGATGTTTTTTGTTGAGGTACGATTATGAATATTGTCACTTGTTCTGTGCTGATTGTAAGTAAGCTGGGATGTTGTTTGTTCCAATGCCAGTTTTATACATGCTCATTGTTCCATCTTGTATTTGGAGCTGATGTGCTAGCTGCTGTCACTTGTAAGGCTGGTTGGCTGGCTGGCAGTATTTCCTTTGCCCAGATAGAGGTATATATGAGGTCCATTTCCATATTGAACTCATCAATGCTCCTTAGTAGCTCAGGATCGCCCTTTCTTAGTTACATGGTTTCTCTGAATTTGGTGTTGTTTTGGGGCATTTAGTTTGTAAAATAATGGTGGAGAAATAGTAATGCCGTCTTTGTAATTTGAGAAACAGGGAAAGGGCTAGCTCAAATCAAGAGGAAGTAATGCGCTGTTGACGTCTGGAGTGGGGTTGAGGCAATGCGGTTTTTTGGTGCGGTGCGGTTCCGGTCCAGGCAAATCATCAGCTTTCGACCTAGTCTTTCTGATGCCTGCAATTTCTGAATAATCCTCCTTCTCTGCTTCTTCTTCAGTTACCTTTGGGCTGCGACTCCGTCTCTGACTCCGCCTCCTTGTTTCTTAAAACTCGGGTTCCTAACACACTGTTCCCACTGTATCATCATCTGAGTGCGCACGGGCGGCTTCCATATCATTGATATGCTATATATATTCACTTCCAGGCAAGTAGGGGAACTGAAGATTTTTGAGCAATACAACTTGAAGCAACTCTGGTTGTCATCGCCGCCGTTTGTCCAGCGTGGGGCGGAGTGGGACGGTGCAGTTGCTGTCGGCTTGCCGAATATTGTCACTTGTTCTGTGCTGATTGTAAGTAAGCTGGGATGTTGTTTGTTCCAATGCCAGTTTTATACATGCTCATTGTTCCATCTTGTATTTGGAGCTGATGTGCTAGCTGCTGTCACTTGTAAGGCTGGTTGGCTGGCTGGCAGTATTTCCTTTGCCCAGATAGAGGTATATATGAGGTCCATTTCCATATTGAACTCATCAATGCTCCTTAGTAGCTCAGGATCGCCCTTTCTTAGTTACATGGTTTCTCTGAATTTGGTGTTGTTTTGGGGCATTTAGTTTGTAAAATAATGGTGGAGAAATAGTAATGCCGTCTTTGTAATTTGAGAAACAGGGAAAGGGCTAGCTCAAATCAAGAGGAAGTAATGCGCTGTTGACGTCTGGAGTGGGGTTGAGGCAATGCGGTTTTTTGGTGCGGTGCGGTTCCGGTCCAGGCAAATCATCAGCTTTCGACCTAGTCTTTCTGATGCCTGCAATTTCTGAATAATCCTCCTTCTCTGCTTCTTCTTCAGTTACCTTTGGGCTGCGACTCCGTCTCTGACTCCGCCTCCTTGTTTCTTAAAACTCGGGTTCCTAACACACTGTTCCTACTGTATCATCATCTGAGTGCGCACGGGCGGCTTCCATATCATTGATATGCTATATATATTCACTTCCAGGCAAGTAGGGGAACTGAAGATTTTTGAGCAATACAACTTGAAGCAACTCTGGTTGTCATCGCTGCCGTTTGTCCAGCGCGGGGCGGAGTGGGACGGTGCAGTTGCTGTCGGCTTGCCGCCGAGTATGTGGAGTTGGTGTATGCGCCACCTAGTGGGTATGCAAGAGAGAATGGGTACTGAACGTCTGAACCTAGCCTTGTTGGAGAACTTTCATTCTCTAGGGAAAACCCTTCAATGTGTTCTCTCATCTGCCCAAAATGCCCGATGGTGAAAATATACGCTTGTTCCAAACCATTGGATCTGCTTATTTATTTCTGTTTCTTTCCACATATTTACCGTTAAATTGTGTGCAAGTTGCAGCTGATAATGTGTGCTTAACCTTTTTTGCAACCTGACCATGGCTGATCCACCAAGTTGCAGCTGATAATGTGTGCTGGCGTTACCCATTTTTGCACCTATATTTCAGAATTCAGAACGACCATGGCTGAAACATTTTTCTGCAACCTGACCAGCTGATCTGTGTTGTCACTTTCACGCAAAAATGAAACGTTTTTGCGTTTTTGGTAAAAAAAAATCCAGTGATCTAAAAGAGCAATTATTTGAGCAATAAGTTGTTCTTGTTAGAATATAACTGTGTTTAAGATAGAGGTAGGAGTTAGAGATAGAATAGGTTTAACATGCACGACTTGCCCTCTACTCCAAGTCTCGCTCCCTTACAATGTATTCTATATATACCCCAAATGAGGGTCGGATCAATACAACAGAAACAACACAATATTCATCCATCTCATAATTTCCACATGGTATTAGAGCGGTTAGTCTCACGACGCCGATCCTAGGTTCTTCCAACACTTCCGCAGCGCGCCGTCCCCGGGAGATTAATTTCCTCTCCCCGGGGGCGCGGCATCCGATCATCAAAGATAGATCGGTTCATTAGATTAGATTCAATTTTCGAATTCCCAATCTCCATCCAGTAGATTATTTTTTTAGTCACCAAATAAATCTCATAGCCCTTATATTCCAGTAAAAATCAGTGCAAGTTCATGGCGGCGATCATGGTGGGCTCAACCAGGCGCTGCTGCATGCGGCCGGCTCAAGGTTTTGGTTACCGAATGAGGCAATTTTACCGAGGGGGACTGGTAAATGTGGTTACCACGGTTACCGAGAAATACCGAGAATATTTCGAGCGAATTTTATAGTTGAATTTTGAATTCAAATCAGGGAATGAATGAATATTCGAACCAGAGACCTCTCAAAACAGGAACTAGGTTGCTACCAACATGCCAGAACCAACTCTAATGGTATTAATTAGATCCTACGTATTTTACTATAAATTGGGTGTTTAAATTCAAAATTTTCAAAAAAATGGTATTTTTGCTCGGTATGGCGATTTACCGAGGGGCACGGAAATACGCGGTAACCATGGGAAATCTTGAAATTTCGACCGGTAACCAAAACCTTGGGCCGGCTTCAAGTTGGAACTCCACGGGCGCAGGCCAGGAGGGCCAGCCCCGACAGAAGGCTTTGATCAAGCAGCACTGGCGGCTTCGTTCGATCCAATCTCCAACGCCAGCTACACCTCCAGTCTTGCACCGATCGCAGCAAACGAGTCCGTCAACATGCGGCAATGACCGGCCTTAGATCCGATCTACATCAACCTCCGAACGCACTGCTGAGTACAGCGGATGCGAGCGTCCGGCCAGAGGGCCACAAGCGGTGCGGATATTGACGCGGCAATCTGCACGCGTCTCCACTCTCCAGCTTCATCGACCGGCGCACTCTCCAGCATCAGCTTCTCACGCACGCGCCATCAAGAAGCAGCAGTTCACGCACGGGTCCAGGTATGGGCATGCATATGTATCCAATCATGTACCTATCTCCCGTAGCTTCCAGCCATCTGCCCAAGCGACTGCGTCATGCATCAGCCGGTCTGGGCTCGTCCGCGCACCGGACTATGCACCAGCGGAACACATCTACCCCTAGCCGGACTGCAACTACATCAACATCTACACCGAGCGATCGACTCCTCCACCGAGCCGCACTGCATAACCTACACCGAGATGTACGACTACATCGTCAGAAAAAAAAAATCTTCGTCAAGTACATCTACAAGAAGCGACACCAACATGCATGGTCCACACGCCAGGCCGGCGTGGAAAGAATTGCAATTCTTCATCGACTTCTCCGGCGCGACACCGCATCGACACTTGGTCGTCACGAGGGACGCCTTCAAGCGATACATTATCGTCGACACGCCGTTGAAACCCCATCGCCGGCACTTCATCGCCAAGGTCTTCATCAACGTGGTCTTCGCCAACACACCGCCACTACCTTGTCCACAAGATGGACACCTACCGTCTTCTGACAGACTTTTCTGGAAGACGCGACCACGACGACGGCAATGACCGTGTGACGACGACGGCATCGACCGCGTCATCCACGACAGCACGACTGCATCGACACGGCGTCACTACAGTGACGACTCTACACAGCCACACGGTTTTGGCAAAACCGATGTGTGCTCGATGGGCTTCCTTCGGTCTTGGCAAAACCAGTGGACTCATCGCCGACGACACCCTCTGACATCCGCAAGGTGCATCGTCCACGTCTGCAGCTCCGTCATAGTGCATTTTTTTGCGCCTCCGGCTTTGTGCGGCTTCATCATCCACGACGACTACACCA